AGTGTGTCTTGTAGGAGCGTTCTTACTCGCACCTTACCGGACATCTGTGCAAAAGAGCTTCATAGCTCATCGGATTCCTCCAGTCTAAATCAAGATTCTGATTCTGCCGTTGTATGTAATCTGCGTGCAACGGATACAGGCAAGACCGAGCTAGTCGTCTCCTGTGCGTTTGCTGTCCGTGTCCAATACGTTAATTTACGGGGGAGTTTTCCCCAACCTCCCCGAGTGTGTTTATAGAACCCCCGAGAGGCAACCTGAGTTTAAGGCATCCGCCATCTGTGTGCCAATTTCACACCTGACCGCCCTTGTCCGCACCGTCATGGTTCCCACACGCCCTGCGGATTCAGCCCTTTGGAGGCGAGGATTGGTGGATCACGCAAAGATTCGTGAAACTCCCAAACCCACTGGGCTGGGAGGTGTTCAAGAGATGGTTAGTGTAGCGAGTGGATTGCATCCATCTATTCGGAGCCCTTGGGTATTATCCCCTCTGATATGAGTGGTGGAGTGTGTCTCATTGTTCTGGTTTACTCCCGCAAGGTGGCGATAAGTTGACTACCTCGCCTGGTATGAAGGAGGTCGTGGGTTTGATCCCAACCCTGACGCCTGTATATTTCGAGTTTGCGTGTTCTCCCCGTGGTCGCGTGGATTTTCTCCGGGTCCTCCGGGTTTTCCCTCCACAGTCAGCAACACGTGTTTAGAGTATTTGGCTGCAATGTATTTCCACACGATATGCCACTTCGTTGAGCTATAATTTGCGTCCAGAGCTCTATAGCTTAGTGGGCCTTACCTGGCAAAATCAAATGATTTTTTTTATGTTTAATTATGGAATTGACCAAACAGCAGCGTAGCAGGACCCTCTTGAAAATGAGCCTTGAAACTCAGTGAGGCTGTCCTGGATATATATTTTTTTATTCATTAAATATAACAGCGTCTTTGCTCATTGTCAGCTGAGGATGATGATCACGTGAGCAGGGAGACGCTGTGCGTTGTGGGAGTTGAGCGTCGAGCGTTGGGGGCGGGAAGGGGGGGATTGAGGATCGGCGGACGCGAAACGGTTAACGTAAGTGGCCTCATTCCGCGGCAAGGTCACGCCGCAGTCAGCGAGGTCGGCGCGGATTTAGGGTGATTGCTGCTCGGGAAGGGGGCGGTTGGTAGAGGGCTGGGGGGGGGTGGCGAAGGAGGGGGGGGGGTAGCGTGCGGTGCCTGTCAGCCCCGGGCATCCCGGCGTATCGACCCCGGCTGTTTAATTCACGGCGCTTCCAGGTGTGATTTCTTTCTCGCCAAAGACCCAGAATCATCGACTGCGAGCTACTTAATGCAACGGCTGCTGCTTGCAGCAAGCCGCTGCTGCTGCTGCAGGTGGGTGACTCGCTGCGTCGGAGTGCCGCCCTGCCGCATCGACTGCCGCGCCGTCGTTCGTCCGAGACATCCCACCCCACCACCCCCACCACCACCCCCACCACCATCACCACCACCCCCACCACCACCACCCCCATCACCACCACCCCACCACCACCCCCATCACCACCCCCACCACCACCACCCCCACCACCACCACCCCCACCACCACCACCCCACCACCCCCACCACCACCACCCCACCACCCACACCACCACCCCCATCACCACCACCATCACCACCACCACCCCCAGGACCCCCACCACCCCTACCACCACCCCCACCACCCCCACCCCCACCACCACCACCATCACCACCACCACCCACACCACCATCACCACCACCCCCACCACCACCCCCACCCCCACCACCACTCCCCCCACCACCCCCACCACCACCCCTACCACCACCCCCACCACCATCACCACCACCCACACCACCATCACCACCACCACCCACACCACCACCCCCATCACCACCACCATCACCACCACCACCCCCACCACCCCCACCCCCACCACCCCTACCACTACCCCCACCACCCCCACCACCACCACCATCACCACCCCCACCACCATCACCACCACCACCCACACCACCATCACCACCACCCCCACCACCACCCCACCACCACCCCATCACCACCCCCACCCCCATCACCCCACAACCCCCACCACCACCACCACCCCCACCACCACCCCACCACCACCCCACCACCACCCCCACCCCCATCACCCCACAACCCCCACCACCCCCACCACCCCCACCACCACCCCACCACCACCCCACCACCACCCCACCCCCATCACCCCACAACCCCCACCACCCTCACCACCCCCACCACCACCCCACCACCACCCCACCACCCCACCACCACCCTCACTACCCTCCCCGGACGCGCATCGCGGGTGCTCACCACGATCCACGTCCGTGTCTGTCACAGAGAACAGGTTTCGTTAATGGAGGGCAGTGGGAGGGGTGAAAGCCCTTGCAGCACACGTTCAGATGTCGCTTGCCACTGATGGTAGCCGTGGCCAGGATTCGAACTCGGGTGACCAGATTCGTAGCATGTTGCGGAAGCCACCAACACCGACGCTTCACTCGTTTATTTATGTTGTCCTGTAATTGATGCTTGTTTAATCTTTCTGCTCTAATCTCTTCTCGTCTCTTGCAATCCTCTCTGCCTGCTCTGTTCACCCGCCCTGTCGAGGTCTTCTCTAACGGCTCAACTGCTTCGCCTGGCCTACACTTCACACGTAGGACCAATAGACTCCGGACTTTGTAGTAAATCTATATTTACTAAATTCGTGCATGACGCACTGAGATCTCTGGATGAATTGCGCCTTATAAATGTAAATTATTATATTATTGTTCTCATTTTTTTTCCATCTCCCGCTGGCTCTGCTGTCTTCCTCTTGTTTTATTTTTATCAAAGACGCCCGTCATTCACTATGTGATTGATCCAGGGCTTGTTGTTTCACCAGATGTCGCCGGTTAGACTGGAGGAGGTAAGCGACTCGTAGCCACGGCCATAATTAGAGCTATACTGGATGTGGTGTGCTGGGTGTGAACATCGTTTCATGCTCAAGGGCGCAGACTGACCCGGCTGAAGTTAAGCCCGGATCTGACTCTCACCCAATATCCACGCGACCGCTGTTGATAACAATGGTATTAGGTCGTGCATAGCAGAGCCAGCTGATGTGTTCCATCCCCTGAAATGAATAAAGCCATTCTCTGTTTCATCATCATCAGACATGATCAATCCACTGCTGGATGAATGCTTCTCCAAGCAGGTGCCATCCTCGCACCTTTGATTAGCACGGTTGGCTACTTACTGTGCGAAAATCTGCAACGTACATACATCTCACACGGTCCTGCAATGTAACATACCACCTCGCACCACCACAAGAGATGATTTCATCGCTCCATCTCCGCAGCGGACGTGGAGTCAGCGCACGTTCCCTCTCTGGCCAACTCTCCGTAAAAATGCAGATATTTTCCTTTCCACCACCCGAGCTTTCTCCAGCGCATCCCTGCACACCGCCAGTGCACCCCTGCACACCGCGTTCGTGCCCCCCCCCCTTGTGCCCCAACACTAATCCTCTCGTGTCCCCCCTCGTGCCCCACCACAATTCCTCTCGTTCAGCCCCTGCCTATTGCTGCTGCCTGCGCCAGTAATTTCCGTTTCGTCCTCCTCTTCCCAAATAAAGAGGTGCCCTTGCCATTAAAAAGAGAAACGAGGAGACACGGCGCGTGGCGTAAGTGGTACCTGTGGATTACCTGACCTGAGAGCACCTATGGCAGTAATTGCTGGAGCGGCTCGTTAATTGTGACACTGATGGAGTGGGGGGGGGGGAGGGGGTGCTGGTGGGCTACCTGCAGAAACGAGAGCTGTGACCTCACTAACGGCGTAACCGCTGTGATTTAGGAGTCGGCAGTTTAGTGGATGCAATGAACGCGACGCTTATTTGCATAAACGGATGATTACAGTTCAGAGTTCAAAAACGACACCGCTTTATGTTCGGTGGAGGTGGTGGTGATGATGATGTGCCTTTCTCGCTCGTGACTTGCTTTGGAAGGTTTAGGTTTTTTTTGGGGGGGGGGAGGGGGGTTGTGTCTTCGTGCTTTGACAACCTCTGGGTGTAAAATAATTATCAGCAGCTTCAAAAGCAGCAGATGCAAGTGCGTATGAATTATCATGTCACGTGATATCCTTCGTGTCGTCGTGTCAGTTGAGATGCATTCAGTCATCGAGATGGGCAGGAACATAATTTTAATTTGCTTAAATTGTTATTTTCAGCCTCAAATCGATTTTAAAACTAAAAAGCATATTCGCGGCGTTTACGGTTAAATGTTCCCACGTGTGTCACCGTTATTGGCCGATGTTCCCATTTTATTGCCACACGTTGCTTAAGTGATATCCATTAGCCACGTCGTAATTACAACGTTTGAGCACTGCCTTCCATTTGATGTTGGGTTATGAACGTTCCCAATCATCGCCAAATTAATGCATTTTTACGTCAAACGTGGAAGTGCAAAAGAGCACATGACGGGTTTACGGTGGGGGGAGGGGGGGGAGACTTAAAAGGAACGCAATCGATCTGCCACAAACTCATAAAGCGCGCAAGCACCCTATCGCGACACATTTTTTTTGTGTTTCGCAAACATCAAGAGCGGCGATGCGCATCCGCCGGGATTCTTCGGCGCGTGCTTGCTCCCACCACGGTGGAATTGATTAGAGCGAAAGTATTTCGAACCAGGTATAGTAAACGTTGCGCGTTTGAAGCCACGCGCTAAAGCGCCTTCCGCCGGCGAGCGTCCGTTGCTCGCTCGGTTTTTTTTCTTCGCGCGAGATGCCTTGTGGGATAATTTGACAATGGGACATTAATTTGAGTGTGATTTTTTTTTATTATTATTTACTTTTGTACGAAATTACATGGAATAACAAAACTGCTTTGAATACCAAAGGGGACACTCGTGCTGCAGAGTACACGCACGTCAAATTGTCACGCCGCGTGCTCCAAACTCGGGCAACCTTAGTTACATGTCAACCAACCGACCAACCAACGGACTGATTCAAACGCTCGTTCACAATTGTAGAGGCAGGTGGACATCTGACGGTCCTGAAGCTCTCCGATATATTTTCTCTGACGCGTTCTGGCACGTCGAGTGGAACATCGGACATCGTGCCAAGCAACGCGGAACAACCCGAAAACACATCAGAGAGCTGCAAATAAATCAGGTCAGAGCCCATTGAGACCGGAAGTGTGTTTTTAGAAGATACTGGAGTCGAACCGGGTCAAAATAAATTCATAAAAAAAAATTAGACGCCAAACCAAAAATGCAAAGCGACGCAGCTCAGCCACAGAAGGTGAAGCCAAGGACGGGACTTGGGTGGTCCAGGAGGCTTCTGGGCAGCAGCAGCAGCGGCACCAAATAAACAACTGACGGGGGTCTACGACCGTTCCCACGGAACAGGCGCGACAACAATGCACCACAGGCCACGCGCACGCAGCGAAGGCCCACAAACAAGAGGCGTTTCTGCTGTTTTTTTATTATTTCAAATAAATACAATGCTGCAAAAATCTCGGCTTGCCACATGGTCAAATACACCCCCTGAATGGCAATTATATATATATGCATGAATATACATTGCAAAAATGTCTTCATTACTGGGATTTTTGCACACAGCGTTGGTGTACGGTGTTTTTAATGCAATGTTTTACTGTCTTTTCTTGGATTTTCTGTTCACTTTAAGATGTTTTTTGTTCATGTTTTTTGTTTTTTGTTTGTTGCGGTTGCACCCGATTCAAGAGCCGAATGGCTCACAGGGCTATACCTAATAAATGAACTTGAACTTGAAAAGCCATGATCTATCCACTGTCGAATGAAGGCCTCCCCCAAGTGATCCCTCACGGTCACGCAGTGCAACGATCTCTCAGCTGCGGCACAGGAGGTTCTCGCCACTCCATCTCCGTTTGTAAATATTACACGCATTTAAAAATGTACAAGACCATCAGTCATAACCAATTAGCATTGCACGGCAGAGTGATATGCCTCATTATAAACCGTAACTAGCACAATCAAATAAATAAAACATCAAAGCGTGTAATAAAGGGAAGGGGGTGGATGAAGTGGCGTAAAATCTCATTAAAAGTTACTACATTGTTTTAAAATTGTTACAACCGAAAGACGTTACGCGGCACAACGGATACATTTCGAATCTTGTAATAACCGGATTGTTAAACCGCTCCTTGAAGGCTCGAGCGTGGGTCCCCCGGTGGCAGCTGCTGGCTCGCTCGCTCGCTCTCCCGTTCACGCAACATTCACGCGCGCGCGCGTGTGTGTGGTGCACGCGCGCGCGTGTGTGTGGTGCACGCGCGCGCGTGTGTGTGGTGCACGCGTGTGTGTGGTGCACGCGTGTGTGTGGTGCACGCGTGTGTGTGTGGTGCACGCGTGTGCGTGTGTGTGGTGCACGCGCGCCGTGCGGCAGAGGAGGAGGAATGTGGAGGCTCCCCCGTCCCTCCTCTTTATTTCCCCGCATCCGTAAATCTAACGCTGGCTTATTGTGCTCGTGGTTAAGAGAGCAGCGAGGCCTCGAGTGTACGTGAATAAATCAGGGGCTTGGGCTTCGTGGAAGAGAGGATTTTTTGTTGTTGTTGAAAGTTATTACCATTATCGCTACTGCTGTGTCTAGGGCCTTCCCCCACATCACAGCAGGGACAGATGCAGCGATTCGCAAACAGAGAGGGAGGCAGGAAGAAGGGAATAACAGAGAGTCAAGGTGCAGTGCATGCCACAGCCTCGATTCATTCCAAGTCGACGTCTTGTCCGAAAAACTCTGGCGGGGGTGGAGGGGGTGGAGCAGTGATTTTCCCAATGACCTATGAACCTCGTGACCTGAGTTGAATTTCTGGCCTGGCCAGAGGCAATATAGTTGGCGAGCTATATCAGAAGTGGTCTCTGTGACCACCCTTACCTTCGCGAGCCCACACAGTGGCCAGTGCAGCGTGGCGAAGTGTGGTCCAAGCAACAACCCGTGACTGACACGGCATGGAGAGGCTTTCATCCGATCGTGCATTGACAGAGGGTTGAAATTACTACGGTGTGGAATTGTTATAATTGTGAGTGCTAATTTGAGATGACCTAACGAGGGGCTACTGACGTCTTACAATCAGGGGCCCATTATCAACGTTACTGTTTTGTGTCGTTTTATTGTGAGCGGTTTCGCACGCCGCGTTCAATCGGTCGCGTGGAACGGACGCACGCAGAGCTCACCTTTGTGAGCGACGTTGCAGGAAAGTGAACTCGGTTGCGAGTGACCCTCCCCACCCCAACCCCCTCCAGGTTAACTGGGCTCTTAAAACAGGCAAGGGGGGTTTAGAGGGAAATTAATTCGAAAAAAGTGTCAAAGGTGTCTTGCAATTTTACTGTGCCCTCAGCAAATGCCATTACAATTACATGTTATGTCACTTTACCGTTGCACTCCTAATGTTCTACAGCGTGTTTTATTTTCCATACGTTTAAGCGCCTTTGTTCACGCAATAAATTATCATGCCATAATAATGTTTTTTTTGGGGGGGCTAGCTCGTGTAAAATATAAATTATAAATGTGTCGTTAAACCGGCCACCACCCGGCACAGCCAATTCGTAAGTTTTGCCACGTAAACAGAACATGACAATTCGTTTCTAGTACAGCACACCAGTGTTGTTGGAGAGTAAACCTACAACATTTACAATTCAAGTACAACGTTTCGCCGGTGATTACAACCAGCTTCATCAGGCGATTATCCAGAATTGTGAAGACGTCTTCCTGTTTCGGTCTTTAACAGAGTGAAGGTGATGTCATCACCGTGAGCCTTTGAGACGCGAATACCAGCGTGGGCGGGGGGCAGGGGGTGGTTAATCTCGTCACATAAATTACAATGGATCATGTTAATATGAGAATATGCAGGACCTATTATTGGTTGGGTTATTCACAGTTTATTACGTTGCCTTCTTCTGACCGATGACCGATTTAACGCGACGTGGAGATAACCAGATTTCACCCACTGCGCGTGATCTCAAAGAGAAAGAGTGCTCGCCGATGTAACTCCGCGCGCCCGTCGCGCACACCGCTTCCCTTGCGCGGGCAGTCCCTTGGAGGTGGCCGTAATTCCTGCTCTCGTCTCTTTATGTTGCAGAGTAACATTCATGGGTCTTTCAAATCGGCATCGATCTCTGCCCCTATAATTTCGCTTAATTCTGAAGGTAAAAAAAATAAAATGAATCAAAATAAAGGAAAATAGTTTCAGCGGAAAAATAAAAGATTTGTTTCAATTCTACTGCCACCGAATGCCAAGCGGCAACAAAAGGCGCCCTTTATATACTCTTTTTTTAATCCAGCGCCACTGCTGAACCCGTCCGGCCTGGCGCGTGAATTATGTTATAATTTGGCCGGCATTAGCATTTTATCTCCAGTCGCACACCACAAATTGGCAGCCACCCAACGTGAGCAGTGAGAGCCGGTTTTGTAGCCCTCCCCATGTCCCCCCCCCCCCACCCTCTTCGCCCCCCTCCCCCCTCTCACAGCCCCCCCCCCACCTCCCGAGCTCCCCCCACCACCAGCCTCCACCTCTCCCCGTCTCTGTTTGGAGGAGAGTAGAGCGCACACACAGCCGAGCTGGGGCGAGCAGCATAATGAATGGAGTTGTGGTTCAGCAGCATTCATTTAGCTGTAAATTCTGGGGGTCGGGCATTAATAACTAATGCACTGAGTGTGGCGGGCGAGGAGGTGAGGGAGGGGGGGAGAGATGTGAGAAAGAGGGAGGGGGTGGAGAGATGAAAACGAACATGAAGGAATCCACAGAGGGGATGTGGAGGGTGGACCATGCCATTATGCCCCGTTAAACTGCATGGCAGATGTGGAACACTCGGTGATAAATTGAATAAATGGCAGGTTTTTTTTTTACTTTAATTTGTTCAAGTAAAAAGATATAAAATGTTTCATTTTGTTTTGAGAAGCTTCTGAACTGACAATACTGGCCTTGTTAAAGTGTATAATTTACTCACACGGCCAAGAGAAGAAAAGGAAAACATCCTTGAGCAAACCTCTTCAAGAGTCCCATAAGGTTACGAGGGAGGTTTATTTGGTGGATTTACAAGACCTCTACGGGGCCACGGTTTGGCGAAATTCAGTATCTTTTAAAGCCTTTAAAGTGAGCGGTGAAAAATGATTTCACGTTCGAATATTGACAGGAAGCCTCGCAGACTTTCCGTGCTGCACAATTACACGCACCCACAGGTGCAACCCCCCCCCCCCCCCATAGGACTGATTGCTGGCTGTTGCGAATCTCTCTCGAGCGGGAGAAGACTCATTGCCGTCTTTTTGCCCAATTTCAGCCCGAGCTGTTACACGTCTCGGGCTCATTCTTGCGCGCTCACCATTGGCTTTCCACAACAAAACAAGAGAAAGAAAAAAACACTTTAACGATTTCAGTTTGCCCGAACCTCGCGGCGATCCCAACTCATTGGGCTCGTGTTTCCGCCGACAGAAGATCGGTGTGTTTACTCGGCCTTCGCAGCTCGCTCCTAACGACGCTGACGCACCGGCGGCCGTTTCCGTCCGCTGCTTGTAGACGGAAGGCTGCACCCCCCAGCCAGCCCCGGGCCCCCCACACCTCCACCCCGACGACGCCGCCGCCGCGTTTGCTCGGAGCGCGCGCGTGCACGGGGCGACACCGCGGCTGTTGTGACAGCGGTGACCCCGTCCCTGAACCCCCCCCCCCCTCCCCCGCATCCTGCGCTGTGGCCGCTGACGCGAGAGAAGTTATGCCGGCGCGTGCGTGCAATAGAGGAGTGCCGATTGTTGTGCTTGGGGCCCTTTGCACGTTACACGCGTGACGGTGATCGTCGCCCTCATATTCACCGGCTGGGGTGGGTGCCTCTGCCGCTGTCTCGCCAGCGTGGCCGTGCTCACACTATCATCATCATCCGAATATGTATTTCTACTGGAGCAAACCGATGAGATATAATGCTCGGTTCTTTTTTTTTTACAGATGTCCGGTAGTATGGTGTTGGTCTGCTCGCCCCGAATGGATGGATGATGAACGGCGTGCCATCCCCCCCATTCACTCTCTTCTCGTCGCCTCGGCAAAACACGCACTTGGACGCACGCGTTCTCTGGTAGCCGCGCAATATCTGTCGCTTTGAGAGTTTGCAGAGGGCGGTGAGGCGGTGGCGTGACAGGCTGCCAAACTGAGCTCTCGATTGACCAGCAGCTTACACGGTTTGTAATGTCACGTGCTCTCCTTACAGCGCGCATTGTACATTTCCGTCGAGCCGCTACGCAAATGTAAATCGTGTCGGAGCTACACATGCCTGGATGCGTTCGTTTTCTCCGTTAAATGATTTTGTCCGCTCTCCGGATCAGGTCGTGCCTTTTAAAAAAGTAACCCGTAAAAACAAAGTGTTTCACTATAAATCCTTTATATGCGTGCCATCGGTTTTATTTCATTATTCATTTCTGTTTTTCTTGAGTAAGAGTTTCATTTTTATCACATTGGTATTTTGAATTAAATATGAAATTTCTTTTCTTCGTAAAAAGTGGAAAATTTTGGGAAAAAAAAATCACGAAAATAAATTGTCACGCACAACGAGTCTGTGTGCAAAATGTCAGCTCGATTGGATCACGGGAAGTGGGTTAAAAACGACCGAAAGATTTGCACGGTCGTAAGCGCGCAAGCAAGCAAGCAAGTGAACTTAATATAAAGGATTTTAAAAGAACAGACTTCTTCCGGGGCCTTCCACGTTGCCTTTCTGTTTACGGTGAGGTTTTCTCGCCATTTAGCGTATAGAATGTAAATGGATCTATTTGTCCCATGGTACAGCTACTTGTATATCGCTCGCCTTCTGGTCCACCGAGTTGCAAAGGGGCAGCAGTCGACGGACACGCGAGCGAAAGGCTGCGTTGTTGATAAATCGTCGAGCAGCGGGGATTTCCTCCACGCGTGCGCCTTCATTTACTTTTGAACGTTGCCGGCGAGGCGGCGACGCGGGGCAGCACGTGGCAAGCGCAGTGCATCACCGAAATTAAGGGCGCACGCTCGCGCGGCATTGGAATAGCAACACATAACACGCAAATAAATAAATAGAATAGCTGCACAGGTACAATAAAGTGTAACACTGTGGGGCCGAGTGCACGATGGGGGGGAGGTGGATGCGTGCTGGGGAAAAAAACCACACACACACACACAAGTGAGTCCTACTAGCAATAAATAAGGAGGAGAAATATTAGCGTGGCTGCCTGGATAGATAAAGCGCGGGTTTAACAGAAGGCAGGCACAGCCTTGAGAGGAGCGCTCGCTCTCTCTGGCCACGCCTGCTCGTTAAACCTGCAGGTATACGTGCGTCTGTATGTGTGTCTCTGTGTGTGTGTTAACACAAAATTAGGACAAAAAACGAACTCAACTTAGTCATCGCTAGAACAAATAATACAAGGCTGACGTTTTGGACGATTGGGCAATTGCTCACGACGCTAGCGGTTTTGCTCAAAGGCCTTTTGTATATACTGATGATGATGATCTGGAAATTTCCACTCACTGTGATATGGCGTTGGAGACTCGGATGCTAAATCTGGAGCGTGCCTCCTAAGGGATGGGGCCTTACCACCAGCCCCACTAAAGCTAAGCGCCTGCCTGGGTGTCATCAAATAGTCCACCTGCTCAACTCCACACGAGTGATGGGACAGTTGTAGAGAGAGTGGGAAAGTGTCTCCACCTCGGCACTGCACTTTTGACCAGCTCCCGTTTGGCAGCAGAGGTCTCACTTCGAATCAATCGGGCGGCTATAGCTTTTAATCAGCTACGAAACGCTGTGTGGAAGCCTGGCCTAGCGCTCCGCACGAAGCATCGGGTCATCTCAGCCACCATTATGTCTTCCCTTCTCTATGCTTGCGAAACGTGGACCCCTCGAATGTAACATCTACGCAGGTTTGAAACATTTACGCTGGGCTGTCGATCCATCCTGGGTTTAACTCGGCTGCATTGTGTGAGGAGCATACAGATCCTTGAAAGATGTGGATACAGTCCCATTGTTGAGCTCCTCTGTCAGTCAAGGCTGCGTTGGCTGGGTCATGTAGCCCGCATTCCCAGCCACCGCTTGCCCAAGCAGCGAATGTTTGGCCAGATAGACTGAGCTAAATGGGCGCGGAACGGGTTAGATAAGGGATGGGCTGATGTGGTACGGGAGGATGTGGAGCTGAGTGGAATTGCCGATGACCGTTACCAGCGGTGTCAAGATCGGCCTCTACAGAGGAGGTTCGTAAAGGACGCTCCTGGGCAGTTGGAGGCAGTCGCCCTCCAGTGACAACGAGACGAGCGCCGGTCAGCTAAAACGCAACAAATTGGCATTGCCGAGAGCACAGGTCGTGCATCTGCCAGTCATCCCTGTCAGTCAACCCATGGCACCTGGGATTGTCCCGTGACCTCCTCTGCCAGCGAGCATTCGACAAGAACAAGCGCCGTGGTGACGTTACTTCCACTTAGGAACGAACGCACGTGCACGAGCCTGCATGTGTATGCAGCGTGTGTGTGGGGAGGGGGGCGGCAGTGTCGTGGTTATCGCGCTGGACCACGAACCCAGCCACCCGAGCTTGATTCCCGCTCACAGTCAATGTCAGTGACAATTTTTCTAACCGGTCCTGGTCTTCCCCAATACGTCGACTCAGTCTCACATGAGCACCTCGTGCCCATTAGCACAGTTGGCTACGTACGGTGCGAAAGCAGTTCAGCGCACATACTAGTGCGATGTGTAAGCATTGCCACCAAGGAGACAAAGACGGCTGGGCGTGGTGCTAGATACTCACTTTAAGATGTTTTTTTGTTCATGTTTTTGTTTTTTGTTTGTTGCCGTTGCACCCGATTCAAGAGCCGAATGGCTCACTCACAGGGCTATACCTACTAAATGAAACTGAAAAAAAACTGAAAAACACCCCTCGTGTGCTATACTGGATTGTCATAGGTGCTCGCTAACAGCACTTTCCCCAACAGTCTATTAAGGCTATACGGGTAGGGGGGTCTTTGTATTTGGCATATGTTCGTAAAATACGCCTGCATGTCTTGTTTGTCTGTCTGTCCGTGTGCCTTCATGTGTGTACACACACACACGTGTGTATGTACGCGACCTATTGCGAATGTGCCCTACGCATGAATCCTCCGCCAAGGTCTCTCGGCACACACACACAGTTTGACCTCTGCCTTGGCCCATCTCAAAAAGCAAACACCGCCAGAAAGTTCTGCAAACTACGAATTGACGACATAAATTCACACAGGGGAGGATGCAGGGGCCTCGTGCCACCCCCCTCTCCCCCATTTCCCCCCACCTCCTCATTGATCAAACCACTCTTTACCATTCAAGAGTCTTTCGTCAAATGAATGTACCGCGTGCCGCAGCATGCTCTAAAATTTTACATGTTCTTGTGGACGTGACGTGTAAAGTTCATGCGTCATCTCACGGCCTCTTAGGCAGACACTGCTAATAATTATTTATGGTTTGCCTGTGGCCGTTTTTGGTAGAAAGCATGCATTAGCAAACTCTCTTCCACTTTCGTTACGTGTAAAAAAAAAGGAAAATATCTATGACAGTACATCAGCCTCTTGACTTCCCAAACCAATAGAATCGAGCGGAATTTGTTTAAGCGATCATTCTGGGTATCATCAGCAGAGCCACACTTGTTCAACAACCACCGCTGTGTTCCGAGTTGTTATTGGAGAGAGCACTCCATGTAAAAAAAACAATGCGTTTGTGCTGACAATATTGGCTCGTTATCATTATCATCATCAGTCGCCTATTCCTAGTATCAACAATTGATGTTATCGCCACTTTGTTAAAATTATCTTTGCTATTACTCGACCCACTATTACCATATCATTTTATTTTATCACAGTCTGCTGTTATGTCAGACACTGCGATTGGCAATTTGTACTCTGACCCTGGGGCGTAATGGCTTTACCCTTGCAAATGATAGCGTAGGAGGGCTTTAAAGTCCGCTCTGTAATGCGGAGGATGGCGCACTATCAGCAATGCCCCGCAGAAATGACTTTCGGCGGCTGCGGAAATTTCAACGGCGAGCGCACTTCGAAACCGGTTCTGTGGTGAGCGCCGGGCTATTTCAGCCACTCCGCTCTTCAAAGCTCACACCAAATCGTTCTCCAGCCGCCCATTTGAATTTGCAGTAAATTATTATTTTTTGACTTTTGTTCCCCGTTACGGTGTTCGTCGTTAGAAGCGACGATGTGCTTCGGTGCGTCTCCTTCAACCGCGGAATTATTCCGGCGCACGCAGACCCCGGGCTTGCGTTGCTCTTCAAAGCGAAGTGTGCGCACGCAACGTTTCGTAGTTTAGAATGAAAATAGCAAAATAAACACGGCGCGAGTTGGAAAATGGCCCTAATGGGCAAGGGGCAGTCATGTGCAGAGGCGTTCCTGGCGCTTTCTACATTATGGCTAACTTGCAGTTACTCAATTTATTTGCGAAAGTAATTTTTAAAAAGCACCTTGGAAACTCTTACGTTAAATAAGCGTTTTGTTGCGTGTTTTTTTTGTTTGCATTGCCTTATTTGCACCTTATTTAAATGTGTTTGATTCAATCAAGTTAGAACTTTCATCTTGGGGTAAAATACATATATGTGTCGGCGTATCGGTATCAATTTACGCCTGAAAAAAATCCCCAACGTATTAGCGTGCAGGAGAGACGGCACGCAGCGCAGAGCGAGTTGCATTTTACCGTTCCGTTGTGATGCATACGCGCGCGCCGCTATTCCCAACGACTCGATGCTTGCCGCCAGATCGTTAGCGCGCGTGGCGCGAGATCGAGTCGTCGTAACGAGACGAGAGAAGAGGACAGAGAGAGAGAGTGGCATCTCCGCCGACAGACAGGAGGCAGAGCCGGCTCCGCTCCAAGCACGTGCTGTGAAAGGATCGCTCGATCACGTTCTTGCCGTGACACCGAGCCAAGGCCTGGCCATTGCAGGTGACCTACAAGAACCGTCTCCCCCTCCTACGGGGTTTGTGAGTGAGCCAGTTGGTGAGTGAGCCAGCCTTTAGCAGTCGGCCTCGTGGTGGCGAGTATCTGAATTGCTGCCTAAGCGGGCGGGGGCGGGGTCTCTCTGGTCCCATGCTTTGAGATATAGACTCACATGGAGATTCATAGACTTTGCATAGAGATCCATAGTTTTAAATAGGCGCCGATAATTTTGCATGGTGGGGAGTTGATCAGCAATGATAGTAC